GTTCAGTAACGCTGTAAAGAATTTGTAAAAGAGCTCATAAGGCAGCGTTTAAGAGTCTTTTGCCACCTAGGGGAAACAGAAAAGGTGTACATGTTAGCAAACTGTTGTCTATTTACACAACCAGCAGGATTAAGCAACAAAAGTGTTCATCTGGGCTCTCTTTTCTTTCCAGTATTCACTCTCCTTGTAGCTTTCTTTTGATTTCCACTACCTTGAGTTGCTAGTTGCTAACTTTGTCTTCCTACTGTGTGGTGCTGGGCAGTTGGCAGAAAATTGATTTCTCAGAGTTTATTCTGTTGAAAGCAGCTGCCTGCAGTGCCCTATTACCATATCTCCAGGAAGGAGGAACAGTTGCATGCATGTGATGTGGAGTGCACAGGCAGTGTGTAGCGAGACACACACAGGAGCTCCTTGCTTGTTCTGTAGGGACCAGGGTATCTGGCAAACACCTGTTTGCAGACACTCACATTTCTATTAGATCACATGACGACGTGTTGTTTAGCCCTAACTTAGCTGTGTAAGCATACCAAACACCTATGAATGAGAGACACACAGACAGGGTCAGTTCTGTCTTGTCTAGGTCAGTTTTTTTTAACTTGGAACAAACCTGTGAAGTGATGTTTTCCACATGACACCAGGGATCTGTGGGTGTGGGACTTTAGGTACCTTTCCTTCCAATTCATGTGAAATGTAGTTCCAAATCTAATGAAAAGATTAAAAATGCCAGGGGGAGAATTGTGTAAAAAAACATTCTGTTTGTGCCATGTTTTTCCATTTGTCATCCACAGGTTTCTCCTTTGCACAAAGTCCACATGGTGAATTGTGTTTTGTCATCCTAACTGGGCAGACTTGCGTCACGAAACATGTTTGGCTGCCATCCCATTTTTTACTTAGCAGATGAGATAGGTAGAGTGTGGTGGCTTGTTCCTGTCTGATCTTCTGTTGGGCTGTATGAACTACAACAATAATTGCAGTATGAATTGTAAGTCTGCTGGCTCAGTGCAGGAACATCTAACAGCTTTACCTGCCATTACACTAATGACTGAAGTTTTAACACATAATTGGGTGAGCATAAATAAATACTCATGTTGACACTCAGAGATGAGTTGCTAAACTTACAGGGCTCCGTTAGAGGCCTCCATCTGGAGCAGAGTGTGGAGTACTGCTCACTGCTGTGTCCCTAAGCAGGTAGTGGTAGGTATGGTAGGTTTTTCATCTGAGAATGAACCAAAACAGTAAAGCTGTGGAGATTAAAAGTATGCATGTCTCTTATAATTGTATTTGTGCATTCTGCCTCAGAGGGGCTGCCTAATTACATGCCCTCCGTATGAATTGTGATAGGTTATATGATTAAAAACTGAATTTTGAGAGGTCAGCGGCTTAAATGAAAAAACTAAGTCCATTCTTCACAGAATGATAACGGTTGAAATATTTTCTGTCCAGCCCGGGCAGCTAATGACCAAAGTTATTCACTTTTTCTTGGGCCTTAAAACTGATTAATTAAACTGCCCTTTATTCCTGAACTGCCATCTCCATCACCTCCCGCCTTCATATCAGATGCAAGCAAAGGATCAGATAGTATAAATAGATTCTTTTTTTATGTACTTGGCTGGGATTACATCAGTCCTAATGAGAGTGGAGAGAGATGTTCGTCTGTGCTCCAGAGTGCCAGAGCGTCTTGTGTCTATCTGCCTGCCGAAGCACACAGAGCGTCACTGACGGCTCATTGATTTGTGGCCAGCAGTGGTTTTCCTCCTCCATTTCCCTCATTTAGATCCCACAGTTGTGCAGCTGTGTCTGGATCAATGGGGCAAGTGGTGGGTTTGAAAGGACTAATTCTCACTAGCTCATGAGCCGCACTGACCGCTGGATGCTTCTGATGCTGCAGCCAAAGTATCCCCCACGGTGTGAGGTTTGCAAACATTCAGTTCTGTTCCCATCTTAGCTTGGGCTGGAACTCGACTACATTTTTACATTTAGGCCTGATCATTTTTGCCTTTAATACAGGCAGAGTAAAATATGTTTTTTAAAATTTTTATTTTTACTCTCTCCTGAGGACATTAAGTATTTCCTTTTCTGCCATGTGTTGTTGTCAAGATTTTTCACTGGGTTTGTTTCTGTAAATTCAACCAAAGAACTATATAAATAGCATTTATAGCACACTTACCCACAGTGTAAATGTCCACTGTCTCTTAAACTGTGATGAGGAATGCCATCCTGCCTGTTTACACCTGCAGATATCGGCAGTAGAAACACCACATACAGGAATTCAAAGCATTACTTGACTGGAATTTGAAACAATGCTAACTTATAATGCACTTTTTTTTCTGTGTTGTGTTTTCATTGATGCCACTTGTCATTTTGGTGACAGCTGATTTTCACAGTAGGCCATGCAGCTAAGACTTTTCTTGATGCCCATAACCTAAAAACACTCAGCCTATATTCTTAAATGAGTTTAATTTATTTGATCAGCTTCACTTTGCTAGACTTTCAGGTATTGGGGTATCCTGCACCTGATCTCTCACTTATAATCTGGGGACAAGTTGATCAATGATTTATGACTCATTTTATTTCATATGTGATTACTTCGCTAACAACTATAGCAGAGCATTGAAATATGTCATAGAATTTTATGAGATGTGTGAAAGTGAGAGCATTTATGGAACAGCACTTCCTGTCACAACATTACACAAGCAGCAGCATGGCTGTCGAACAATCAAATACTCTCATCCACCTAGTCATCCATTATAGGTGCTGTCGTGCTTCGGAAATAGGTTGTGAGAGACGTTTAATTAATTAATTTTTTTTTACCTCTAGAGAAGGAAGAACCTGTCATCTTGCAGGATTCTCCAGCTACAGAGGAGATGGTTAATTCAGATTAATTCCAAGATTTCTTTCATTCTTTAACTTAATGTATGGGGCACTCATTCAATGTCATCAACCCCAGCCCCTTTACGCCTGCAGTGCAGAAGGATCCCATCGCTGTGTGCGTGACTTTCTGAGAAAAAGGCTTTCTTATCTTTGAAAGGCCACAATGTATTTTTCTAAGAAATGATCCTTATCAGGGAGCTTTCATTGGGATTTCTCTCTAAAACTCTTAGAACTCATTGTCTGTGCTTCTTACAGTTGGGATTCAATTATTTTTTTTCTTGCCTTTTCAGGTTATTGAAATGAATAATTTGTAATCTTTTAAAAACAGTCAAAAAACTTGGAGATGGAGTCTGAAATTTTTAATCAAAACAGGGTTTGTCCATATCCTGCCATAGTCAGAAAAGTATAAAATCATTTGTGTGAAGGATCCAGACTACAGGTGCTGCCCTACTGCTCAGTGTGAGTTTTTAAGTTGTGCCAGAAGACGGTAGATCCCAGATGAAGTGCACCGCAGTAACATCAAACAATTCAATACAAGGTTTCAATACCTGATTTATATTTCAGCAGCTTTCTCCATCCTCTAAGCAGACAGAGACTTATATGAAGTCTTAAGGAGTGAAAGAAAAACTTGGGAATGCAAGTTCATTTCACAGTGGGATGGGGGCTCAGTGCCAGCTCATGATTAATTAAAGGGGACAAACTGATATTATTTCCTTGCCAGGCTCAACCTTTCCACAGGAATTTGAGCACAGGGGAGCGTTTCTGGTGTCAGACAATTGGTAATTGTCTCAGTCTCATGCTGTTTTGTCTCTCAGAGACTGCTGTCTGCTGGGGGATTTCTGTCGAGGGGAAAGAAGCCATGCAGGAGACAGGACAGGCAAAGAGAGTGGGTTTGCTACAGTAATTTCATCACAGTGCATTAGGCTGGCTAACATGAGGGTAACTGCTTTCTGCTGATCCAGAACCAGCTGAGGAATCAAATAAGGAGGCAAATTGTGTTTAGTAATATGAGCTTTGCTTTGTAAAACCTTGGCTAAATTTGGCATCTAAACCATCAATAGTCTTACTCTTTTCTTGTGTTAGCTTTTTTATTTTTAGCACATTTTGCATTATAAGTCTCTAGACTATTTTGCACCTAAAAAAAAGAATGCTAGAGAATTTTTGCTGAGTACATTTGAGTACATTTGCTGCCCTGATGTTGTGACTTCAGCATCGGTTGTATCACTTTCTATAATGGAAAACTCATTAAACTTGTCATAAAACATTAGAATTCAAGCTTTGTGTTACATTAGCAGTAAGCAGAGCGTTCTACTCCATTAAGAAGTTTACACATTAGTCAACCAATGGTAACTTCTGACTTGCGGCTGCATTTGTTCAATTTGTCACAACCAGGCATCCGTAGTTTACATCATAGATTCGGGAAACGGGATGTGATGGAGGCTTATGGTGTCAGTTTTGAGTCTTACTAGACCCCCTAGTGGTTAAAAAGAAAGTTAGATAGCGTATCATTTTGCCACATTGTTCCACAATGTGACATTAGGGAAGAGGATGAAGAACAGATTTCATCATTAGCAGTTGCCTTGATAGACAATGCAGCCTGTTTTGGGGTCTATAATAGAAAAATGAAAACCTCATTGTTTCAGACTACAGGAGGCAGACACACAAGATTTGACAAATCAAATAAAAATTGTATAGCAACTTAATCTACCTGTGACAAGATTTCACAGAGATTGACAGCAAATACAGCCATGACTGACAGTGCAGCAGCAGTGCAAACAATCAAAATGTTGATATTGGAATCCAGCACGGTGGAAATGACACAAGATGAGATGGAAATTCCCCAGGCTGTTCTTCTGCTCTCTTGAGACTTGGGATAACTATTGCTTTTCTCTCCTTCCTCCTGTTCAGCCAACCGCTGAATATGTATAGCAAGTTCAGGCACATTTTCAGGGATTTCTCAAAAGTCACGAGTTCTTAAAATAGATTGAAAATATAAGAAATCGTTAATTGACAGTGAAATAAACATGTCAGGCTGAGAGACAATGCACCACATCCCAAAGTAACAGACTGACAACATTAAATGTGGGAACAGAAAATAGGATTCTCTCTCATTCTTCTCTCTCTTTCAGAATGAATGGACAGAAGCAGTGGACACAGGTGGCCGTGATGGCGCTCCTGGTGCTAACGGTGATGGCAGCTGAAGGAGGCAAGGCAGAGAAGCAAGGTAAATCCTGCAAACCAGCAGAGTACGTGTTTGTTGATGGGAAAGATAGGGATGAAACAATATAGGGAAATTCAATATATTGTGATAGAAAAACGTCACAATATGTATTGCTTTGTTTAGTGATATACAGTATATCATGTGTATCAATTCAGTACATCTGGTTGTTTGTTACATAATCAAACCAGTGGTAGAAAAGGGGAGAAAGAGGAATAAAGTACAAGTATTCCTCAGCTAGTCACTTTCTCCCATCCCTAGGAAAAGTGCTTTCTGACATTTATCCTCAACATAAAAAGACTTTTCCTAATGTAGGAACACACATTCAGTGCTATCACTCCCTAAAGGCTCCTTTGTTAACTGTGTTCTTCTTAACAACTTATTAAGTTGGACACAATTATTAAAAATATATGAAAATGAAGAAAATGGCTTCAGGGTTGAAGTAATTTGTCTCTGTTGAGAATTTGCTAGAAAACAAATAGCAATATCTTGCATAAAAGGGGGAAATAAGTCAGATAAATCCCACTTGAGAAAAGAAAACAACATTTAGCCTAATTTAAAATTCAAGAGGAAAATAGTTCATTTGCATTTGAAATTGGCACAAGCATCTTGCCTTGAAATAACAGGAGAAAGACTGAAGAAGGGTAAACACTGGAAGTAACAGTTTTCATTTCCGATGTTAATGAAAACTAGGATTCAAATGTGTTTTTAAGAGTCAGAAGTGTAGATCTGGACAGGAATCAGACTCCAGACATAAAAATTAAAACCTCAGTAATGACATGGACTGGACCTAAAACCTGACTTCTCAAAGAACTGTGAAGCTGAACCTGACACTTCAAAGCAAACATCTTCACTTTCCAGGTTTTGACCTGCTGAAATCCAGGAAAGACAGTGTGCCATTTGAATGGTATCAGAGACCGAAAAGACCTGCATATTACCTTGAGTGCTCTTGTCCTCAAGAATTTGAGACAAAGTCAAAGTCAAAGTGTTTATTGTCATATGTACAGTAGGGAAACATGTTTCTCTGCACAATGAAATGCTTACTTTGCTGTCCACAATGAATGCTGAACAATATAAAGTTTAATATAGTAGATAAATAGTGGTAAATACAATATCAATGCACGTTTAAAAAAACAGCAAGTGAAAAGACATAATAAAAATATAATAATGAGAATATATGCTACATCAAAAACAATATGTGCAAGTTGCCACTTACAGTAAATGGGACTTATCTTAGCCGACTTGAGGTTTGAGGTGAACTTTCCCCAAAAGCCTTAAAGGTTTCTCTGGCTCCTAACTCCACCTGCTGCCCAGGTCACAGTGCAGCGGTTGAAAGTGTGTGTTTTGGTCCTGCAGGAAAGAAGGAGCGCAAGTCTGACTGTGGGGAGTGGCAGTGGAGTGTGTGTGTGGCCAACGAAGGGGACTGTGGACTTGGCACCAGGGAGGGAACACGCACTGGCATTGAATGCAAGCAGACCATCAAGACCCAGCGCTGCAAGATCCCCTGTGACTGGAAGAAGAAGTTTGGAGGTAGGGGAGGACTGTTCAGACTTTAGTGGGACAAAATACAGAAACGTACCAGATATTTGTTAGCACTTTACAAGTCTACATCTAAATAATCTCCAGCCACTGAAAAAGCCAGAAAACTATCCTCTTCATATACAACTGCATCTTTTCTGTCTCAACCCACGCCTCCCCATGATGTATGGTAGCCTGGCATTCACACAAACAATGGCCCTATTTTCACAATAGGAATGAGAAAGCTAGCTAATTAGAGGTGCAACAGAAATGTCTCAGGGTGTAATGCATCATCATGGAAAACAGGAATAATCATTCTGCTTTGCCATTTGCTTTTTGGGCTTGAGACTGTGCAGCCTTCTCAGCTGAAATGTCTTGCAGTGACAAGGCTGAGGATCTTTTGTCCCGCCAATACGTCCTGTCAGAGAGGAGCCTGCTGCTCCGCAATGAACCTGTCACCAGTGATGAACACACTGCTGGAAATAATGGTGCCGCTAACTGGCTAAATAGATCATAACAGCAAAAGTTTCAGTGAAGTTGTAATAAGTTACATGCTGGTGGACTGAAAAGGCTAACTGCATCCTCTTGTCTTGTATAGACTGAACATCCTTGCAAACTAAGCCAGTGTCTTTTATGCAATTAAAAATATCAAGACTGTAACATTGGAGACCATCATCTGAATGTGTGTGAAAAGACCCTGCAATTTAACCCTGACAACAAAACCTGGATTCAGATATGGTGCTGCTCAGAAAAATGTCTGTGTATCACTGATGTAATTACTATCTTAGTAGTCGGCCAGTAGGCTAAGTACAGGTGGGCAGCATGCTGCATTAAGGAATAACCTTTTATGGCTTTAAGTAGTATTACAAATACTTTGAAAAACTCAGAATTATGGGGTTCTGAAACGCCGAGCCTACAAGGTTTGACTCACATTTGGACCAACTTTAAAAACAAGAGAGAACTAGGTTGTGCTTACAGTAGGAAGGTATGTACGAAGTATTGCCAGCAGTATGACCCTAAAGAGCACAGCTCTGTCAGGCAGTAACAAACACTACAGACAACTGGTTTCTCTGGGTTTTCACGGCAGACCATGGAAAATATGATCTAGTGTGCTACAGTTGTCGATAGAGAGACAACTGTACTTATTGACCTCTAGTCACAGTAGACTTTTTAATACAGCAGACATTTTAGCACGTCGTAGCGCAGGTGGCTGGATGTGATTGGACCAATAAACTAAATAGATAAACTAATATAAAAACAATCTTGTATCTGGATACAAGTAAGGGCCCGATCGGCCCCGGCTGAGTTTCCCTGGTGAGGGTGTCTGATGTTAAGACCCAAACCCGAATGTATAACTGACGATGTGTCCAGGTTGCACCAGCAGGTGTATAAAAGAACCTCCCATATTCCTGTTTGAGTCTTATGGCAAATGTTTTTCTCTCTATCATAAAAATATACAACACAATGACAATCTAACTTCCAACTGTGGGTAGTTGCAGCTTTAACTACTTCCTAATGAAAG